GGAGGCGGAGAGGAGGAGGAGGAGGAGGAGGAGCGGGAGGAGGAGCAGGACGATGAGAAGGAACACCCCCTCCGAGGCAGTGCAGGTGGCTGGGCTGCGACTTTGCCGCCGAGGCCGTGCCCCAGGACCCGCCCCGGCCACGAGCCGCGCGCGTTGGCGGTGCGGCGGGGGCCGGCGCAACCCGCGAGACGGCCTTGGGCTGTCACCTCGGGCCTCGGACCTCCAGCGCAGAGGCAGTGCGCCGAAGTACACTCCCTTGAGTGCGTCGGACACCATAGTCTGGGGGGGTGGCTACGTTATGCCCCCTCTCGTTTCCCCCCCCCGCCCCCCCTATAAGACCGGTTATGGCTGCGAATAAAAGAATGCGCTCCTCCAGAGCCGCCAGATCTCAGAGATTCTCGGTTTATCCTCGCCCGAATTTGTCCTCGTCCTGGCTTCGTTTTTCGGCCGGGCCGAGGTATAAGATCGAGATTGGTTCGGGGAGGGTATCCTGCTCTTCCTGTTTGTTGGATGTTCTGGTGCATCCTGGTGGGAGGGTGCCCTCGGGTGCTCTGTGAGTTTTGGCTGGCGGAGGGTCTCATGCTCTCGAGGGATGCTCTTCTGGCCTGGGTCCGACTGTAATCGAGGGAGGTCTCTAGTTTTGCACTCCCCCCCTCCCTGTTTCTCTCGGCGGGGGATACAGTGGAGACCCATGCCAAGAAACACCCTGCTTGCCTTCAGGGTGCCCTGGGTTTCTTGGGTTTCGAGATGATTTTGCTATGGAAAGCGTGACGTTCCCACACCAAAAACCAATGGACGTCCTGGGGTCTCAGTGTTGGGTTTCTTGTGGACGGTTTCTTGTGGACTGGCCTCCACTGTAAGCTCCGCCCCTCCTCCTTTGCCTGCGCGTTCCGTTCCGTTCCTCCGTAGCCGTAGCCGTAGTCGTATCGTGGTCGTAGTCGTAGTCGTAGTTGTAGTTGTCGTCGGCGTCGTCGCTGTGCAGCAGGTGCCGCAGATGAATAATTACTTTACCGTGTTGGTGTGACCCCAGTCCGTCAATAAGGGCGTCGAAGCGATGATTAGTTTCTTTTTTTTGGGGGGGGGTTCTGAAGACCGATCGCGATTCACCTAGGCCTGCCAGATGGGGTCAGAGTAGATGGGATCGCAGGATCGCGCCGCATCGGCGATGCACCGGCGATGCATCGGCGAGGCATCGGCGATTCGGATCGATGCGGAGACCGGATTTTCCACGCCGACGTCGCCGATGCATCGCCGACGCGGCGCCAATGCATCGCCGATGCAGCGCGATCCTCCGACCCCATCTGCTCCGATCCCTTCTGGGAGTCCCAAGCAAGGACCACCCTGGGCTCAGGAGGGGCTGGTCTTCGGGCCGTTCCTTGGATCCAGGTCGGGGGTGTTGTTCATGGCCGAGGCTCGTCGTGGTCAGAGAAGCCCCTTCGCTCCGTATTCGCCGCCCCTATTCGTAGCGCAATGACTGTCTTGAAAGAACAGTGCGGCATTTTGTCGCAGTCCTCGGCCTGCTCCTGCAGCTCTCTTGCCTGGGGGGTGCTTTCCAGCAGCTGCGCCTCGCCGAGAGCATTCCGAGGCTGCCCCGAGCGCCGCGAGCGGCCGCCAGAGGCCCTATAGCGACGGCCCGAAAGCCGAGCCCTGCGCGCCGCAGCAACGATCGTGGCGGCCGGCCGTTCGCCGTGTTCGGGTCTTCGGGGGGTCCTCGCCGGGCCGCAGGGCGTTCAGGAAGCAGCTCGGGACGAGAAGCAGGCCCCGGGGAGCCCAGACAGCCGACGTCGTGGTCCTTCAAGACGTGCCCCTCCCCAGAGGTCCTGGCTCCTTCCCGGGGACTGGCTTCTCACCCCGAGTGGTTGTTTGGCGGCCTCCTGGGCCCGGGGAGGGCGCCCGGGAGCCGAGCGTTTGCCGCGCTCTGTCGTTGCTCTTTCGCGACGGGAGAGGGTCAGGGGAAGGGTGTAGATTTCCGATGCGGGATCCTGGATGCCTCGCGCGGCGCGCAATAGTCGTATTACCCAGTCCACGCGTCCGCCCCGTCAGATTCGGGACGACGTGCGCGCGGCGTGCGTCCGGCGTCAGTCCAGCCTGAATCCGGCGTGAAGCTGATGTGGAACTGACGTAACTCCGACGTGAGTCCGACGTTCACCACCCACCAAACCAACCCAACCCAACCCGAAGGCTCAGATTTCCAGTGGGGGGGGGTCGGGAAACATCGAAAAAACACATGTGGAACCCTTACCCCCCCCAACCCGAAATTCGGGTCTTCGGGTTGGGTTGGGGTGGTCTGGTAGGTAGTCAGACGTCGATTTGGGTCCCAAGTTGCCGCGCGAGGCTCCCAGGATTTGCATCGTGAGGTCAGGAAGCGGAGAGGGATTTCCAGGGACCCCGTGTCGAACAAGTGAAACGTCGGATCTCTGGGGAGGTCCTGGCGGAGGAAGTTGGTTGCCGCGCCGACCATCCGGGCGACGGCCACGCGGGACGCCCTGGACCAGCGATGCTGCGGTTGATCTCGCGAGCGACGAGCATGACCGTGTCCATGTCCCCGCGGCCTTCGAAGAAGAACACACGGCACAAGCAACTGTTCGGAGTTTCGCGCGGATTTCTTGGATCTGCGCTGGATCTCCTGGCGGCGCTTCCAGCGCTGCCCCCGGCACGGCCCGCGCGCCAGGGAGGGGGGGTGCGGCGCGTCAGGCCTGGCTGTGCGTCTGGCTGTTGATCGCCGAGGCCTGGTCAGGCCTCCTCCCCCTCCTCCTCCTCCTCCTCCTCCTCCTCCTTCGTCTCCTCCTTCGTCTCCTCCTTCGTCTCCTCCTGAGTCTCCTCCTCCTCCTCCTCCTCCTCCTCCTCCTTCTCCTCCTCCTCCTCCTCCTCCTCCTCCTCCCCCGAGGGGCCGAGCCTGGGCAGAACACCCGCGCCGCGGTTTTGTCACGCCGCGAGGAGGTTTGTTTTTTGATTCTCGGGCCAGAACTCAGGGCTACAGGGCTGTAGGGCTATCGGGCTACAGGGCTATATGGGCTCTTGGGCGCTGTATGGGCTATGTGGCTATATGGGTTATGGCTGTAGGGCTATAGGGCGATAGGGATATAGGGCTATAAGGCTATAGGGCTACAGGGCACCCGGCACCTGGGCACCCGGCACCCGGGCACCCACCCGGGCATTGGGCACCCGTGACCCGGGCACCCGGGCACCCGGGCATCCGGGCACCCGGGCCCGGCCACCGAATCGGCGGCGAACCCGGGCACCCGGGCACCCGGGCACCCGGGCACCCGGGCACCCGGGCACTCGGGCCCGACCACCGAATCGGCGGCGAACCCGGGCACCCGGGCACCCGGGCACCCGGGCACCCGGGCCCGGCCACCGAATCGGCGGCACACCTCACTTACCCTTAAATCCGCTAGGACCCCTGCAGAGGCAAGCTCGTATTGGGGAAAGGTACCCATACCTCTACCCTCCCCTCGTTTTCCCCTTTTTGGGCCTCCTGGGCGGCCCTCGTCGCCACTGCTGGGTTCGCCTCGAACTCCTCGTCAGAACGCGCCCCTGGAGAGGTCGGGTACCTACCTGTTGGTTTCCCCAAGAATCTCAGAGCGGGCTTGCCCTGGAGAGTCCTCGCCACCGGCGCTGGAGTCTCTTCGGGATTCTAAATTCTTCGCGTAGCCCCACCAGCCCCTGCAGAAACGATGCCTGGGCGAGTTGCCCTGATCTGGCGCGTGGGGGAGCGCGCAGTGGAAGAAAAGCTGGGAAGCCGTCATACCCCAAGAGGGGGAGGATGGAGGAGGAACCAGAGGAGGATGGGGAGGGGGAGGACTGATGAGGGAGGAGGTGGGAAAAAGGAGGATGAGGACAAGGCGGATGAGGATGAGGAGGAGGAGGAGGAGGAGGATGAGGCTCGAGGAGGAGGAGGAGGAGGAGGAGGAGGAGGAGGAGGAGGAGGAGGAAGAGGAGGAAGAGGAGGAGGAGGGCGAGCAGAAAGGCCAGAGGCCTATTGGATGTACCTCGGAGCTTCTTCAGATGTCTCTTGAGAGCATCTTGTAGGCCTCGTGGGGCCTCTTGGGGGCCTCGTGGCGGTCCCTGGGGCCTCTTGAAGCATCTTGGGTTCCTCGGGGGAGCCTCTTCGGGCCTCTTGTGGGTCTCTTTGAAGTCTCTACGGGGCCTCTTGGAGGCATCTTGGGGGCATCTTGGGGGCCATCTGGGCCTCCTGGGCAACTCTCGGGACCCTCTTGGGGCACACTCGGGGCCATCTAGGAGGAGATCGATCAGAGGATAGGCTGTAGTAAATTAGCCCCCCCCCAGGAGGACAATATGTGGCCAACATCTCATAAAGTCAATGATTTCGGCCTTCTCGCCGAGGCGGCCTCTTGGTGCCTCTTGGTCCCCAGCTGAACTGGGTTCCAGACTCATCTGGTCCCCAGATGAACAGGTCCCCGTATGAACTGGGCCCCCGCTGAACTGGGCCTCTTGGGAGGCCCTTGTCGCCACCGCTGCAATCGCCTCGAGAGTCTGGTCAGAACGCACACCGTGAGAGGTCCTGGAGTCCAGGGAGTGCAATGGAGACCCATGCCAAGAAACACCCCTTTCCTCCAGGGTGCCCAGGGTTTCTTGGCTTTCAATGGGTATTGCTATGGAACGCGTGACGTTTTCACACTGGAAATCAAGGGAAGTCCTGGGGTCACAGGGTTGGGTTTCTTGTGGAAGGTTTCTTGTGGACTGGCCTCCACTGCAGCGGTGTCGCCACTTTTCCTCAAGCTCGAGTCTCCAGCGGCCGCTCGGGACGCTCCGGGCACCCCTTGGAACGCTCGGCGGGGCGCGGCTGCAGGAAGGCCCCCCGAGGCCAGACTTCAGGAGCCTTTCCTTCGAGCTGTCTTCGCAGCGCGAGGCCGATGTGCTCTTGTCGGTGGCATCGGCACAAGAGCAGCGGCAGGCCGCCCCGAGCCCGCGCCTGCGGCGGGCGTGCTCACGGCCTGCCGACGGAGCCCCAGCGGCGCCCACCCGCCTGCCCTGCCCGTCCCTCCTCTTCGGGGCCCACTTCGAGCCGACCCCCGTGCCGGTTCTCGGGTCGGCCTGGCCCGATTCGTCGATTCCCCGGTCGTTCACGGATGGGGTCCTGAGGGATGTGGTGTCCTAAGAGTAGGAAGGGATCCAAGGTTGTATTTGCGCTGTTTGAGGCGCCTCGTCCTTAGGACCCCATCCCTCAGGACCCCATCTTTTGATCAAGGGAGGGAAAAAAACACCCAGACCGGACAATTGGCGTTTACTAAACGGCCCTGGGCGTTCACTCAACAGCCTTGCCCTGTTCGATTTCTTCTTTGGGCGCGTTTACCAAACGACTTCGCGTGTTGGGGTGGTTATTATCGGCGTGGATTGTCTGTCCTCTGATTGAACCACCGAAATCCGATATTCTGGCGATCGGGTGCTGTCTGATCCCTGCACGGCGCTGCTGTGCGTCCTCTGGCGCGGCCGCCCCGCTTCGGTGCCGAGCCCGTTCCGATGCGGCCCGATCCGGCGCAGGTTTCCTGGCTGAGGCGATCGTGCCTCGCGCGTCGCGGTCTGGGCCAGAGCGGCTGCCCTTCTCCATGGGGGCGGCATGAGGGCGCGAGGGCGTGAAGATGCTCGGGCGTGGCGCATCGCTCCACATAGAATGCCCAGGGCTTGCTGGGAATAGGTTTCCCCCCAACACGACCCCAACACCCTTTTCAATCCCTCTGGGAACCGTTCGCAGAGCCTCCCGGAGACCTTTGGGGAGAGCTTTTGGAGGGCTTCGGGAGGGTTTCTGCCGTTGGCGAATGGGGTGGAGGGGTGACCAGAAGTTGGAGGGGGGAAGGAGGTGTAGGATGAGGATGAGGATGATGATGATGATGAGGAGGAGGAGGAAGAGGAGGAGGAGGAGGAGGAGCAGGAGGAGGAGGAGGAGGAGGAGGAGGAGGACCCCCTCCCCCTCCAACTTATGGTGGTGGTGGTGGAAAACACGCCCATCAGACCTCCCCCCCAGGACAGCACGGAGGCCCCGTCCTCCCAGAAGGGCGCGGAGCCCCCGTCCGACCTCTGCCTCATGAGGGTGGCCTGCGGCCGGACGGGCGCCGTGCAGGCCTCCCCCTCCCCTCCGCCCCTGGAGACAGTCTCTCCCCGCAACCTTCGAGGGGGGGCCTGTTTTCTCTGGACACCCCGCGCAGGAAGGAGAGCCTCTGCCCCCTCTCCTCCACTCATCACCTCCCACCATCATCATCATCATCATCATCATCATCATCATCATCATCATCATCATCATCATCATCATCATCATCATCATCACCATCATCATCATCATCATCATTATCACCATCATCATCATCATCAACACCACCATCACCATCACAACCACCATCAACATCATCACCTTCATCATCATCACCATCACCATCACCATAATCATAAACAACATGATGAACATCATCAGCATCGTCATTAAATTCATCATCATCCGCATCACCACCATCATCATCAGCATCACCACCATCACCATCACCGTCACCATCACCATCACCATCACCATCACCATCACCATCACCATAATCATCATCATCATCATCATGATCATCATCATCATCATCATCATCAACAGCATATCGCCAACTTCCACATCCTCCTCCTCCTCACCACCACCACCATTATAAGCATCATCATCATCATCATCATCATCATCATCATCCTCATCGTTCTCCACATCCAAAGTGTGGTTATTGCTTTCTCTGCGCACCCCCGCGCAGATCTCATCCTGCTCCTCCTCCTCCTTCTCCTCCTCCTCCTCCTCCTCCTATCCTCCTCCTCGCCTTGTTAGTGGGTGAATAGCGAGGAATTCTCGAGCGGGAGCCCTCACCTATGTGGCCCGCGCATCATGTTCGAGTCCGAGGCGGGCCATCGGACAACTTTACCAGGCATAGCCCTTGAGCACCCCACGGGGCAAAGCGTGAGTGGCTCGCGAGGAAGCCTCGAGCGGGAGCCCCCCCCCCCTTACTATGAGGCCCGCATCCATGCTCGAATCCGAGGCGGGCCATCGGAACACTCAGCGGGCATAGCCCCTGAGCCCCCCAGTGGGGCACACTGTGAGTGAATAGCGAGGGAGTCTCAGGCTGGAGCCCCCTCTCTAAGTATGGGGCCCGCGCTTCATGTTCGAACCCGAGGCGGGTCACTGGAGAAACTTCATCAGGTATAGCACTCGAGCACCTGAAGGAAGCAACTTGTGAGTGCAACGTGGGGAAGTCTCGAGCGGGGGCCCTCTCCCTATGGGGCCCGCACTTCATGTTCAAGTCCGAGGCGGGTCGTCGGACAACTCTATTAGGCATAGCACTTTAGCACCCTGAGGAGGCAAAGTCTGAGTGAATCGCGAGGGAGTCTTGAGCAGGAGCCCCCTCCCCAAACGGCCCGCGCTTCACGTTCGAATCCGAGGCGGGTCATCGGACAACTCTACCAGGTATGGTGCTTGAGCAACCCAAGGCGGGTATAATGCACCGAAGTCTCGAGCGGGAGGCCCCTCCCTATGGGGCCCGCACTTCATGTCCGAGTCCGAGGCGGGTCATCGGACATTTTTGACGTGCCTAGCATTTGAGCGCCCCAAAGAGGCAGAGTGTGAGTGAACAGCGAGGGAGTCTCGAGCGGGAGCCCTCTCCCGATGGGGGCTATACCTTTGATGCTCGAACCCGAGGCTGGTCACCAAAACGTTCTACCAGGCATAGCACGTGAGCACCCCAAGGGGGAGAATCGTCAGTCAGTCGCGGGGAAGGCTCGAGCGGGAGCCCTGTCCCTATGGGGCCCGCACTTCATGTTGGTAATCTGGGCTAATCATCGGAACCCTGTGGCTGTCGTCACCTTTGGGATCTTCCGGCCCGACTCTGGAGGAGGTCTTAGGCGGGAGCCTCGTCTGTGAGTGATGCGGGCGAGACGAATGGAGAAGGAGGAGGTGTATGGGGGGAGGGGCCAGGAGGACGAAGAGGATGCAGAGCAGGGGGTGGAGGGGGCTTGATGGAAAACATGAAGGGAGCCTCGGCATTCGCAATGATGACGATGAGGAGTACTTCTAGATTCTCATGTGTGGTCCTTCCGTCAGAGTAATTATCATCATCGCACCCACGCGCTCACACACACACACACACCTGTACACTCCTCTTGAGCAAGTCTCGAGCGGGAGCCTCGTCTGTGACTGAATCGCGAGGAAGTCCTGAGTGCGAGCCCTTCCCTGTGGGGTTAGCACCTCCTCCTCCTACTCCTCCTCCTCCTCCTCCTCGAATCCAGGGCGGCCATCGGAAAACCATGCAAGGACGCAGGCTTGGCGACATCCGGGGGTCATGAATCTCGAGGACGTCTGGACCGGGAGCCTCGTTTCTCAGCCAGCTGAGAGGACCTCTCGGGCGCTCCGACTCGTTGGCGAGGGAATCGCGGGGAAGTCTCCAGCGGGAGCCCCTCCCTCCGAGGTCCTTACCTCCTTGTTCGAATCCGAGGCGGCCGTCGGAAAACCATGCAAAACACAAGTTTTTGGGGATACCTGGGGGCCTGTCTCGAGGAACTCTCGAGCGGCCTGGTTCCTGAGCAAACCGGGAGCATGTCTCGAGCGGGAGCCTTGTCAGTGAGTAAATCGCGAGGAGGTCTCGAGTGGGAGCCCCCTCACTATAGGGTTCCGTCCTTGTGGTGGTAATCTGACGCTGCCCTCGGGATGTCAGGAGCCTGAATTCCGGAGCAGTCTCAAGCGGGAGCTTTGTTCCTGAGCAAATTGACAGGATGTCTCGCGCGCTCGCCTGTAAGTGAGTCGCGAAGAAGTCTCCAGCGGGAGCCTGTCCCTATAAACCCTTGTTTCATGTTATTCGTAAGGGCTTCTCCCCCTGCCGCCAGCCCCCTCTCTATCATCGGAGGCTGGGGGGTGAGTCCGACGTGAAACGGAGACCCCCCCTACCCGGTAATCGATTTCGGTTGCGGGTTCGTGTCGTGCGTGCCGTGCGTGCGTGTGGGCGAGGCGAAGCTGCGTGGGCGGGCGAGAGGAAATCCTCCTGTGGCTGGGCCGCGGCCGGACCAAATATTACTCCTCCGGCGGCCGGTGCCGCGCGGTGTCCCGCGGGTGTCCTGAAATCCTCCTGTGGCTGGGCCGCGGCCAGACCAAATGTTACTCCTCCGGCGGCCGGTGCCGCGCGGTGTCCCGCCAGTGTCCCGTGGTGTCCCGTGGTGTCCCGTTGAGTGAGATCGATCGTGCGATCGATAGTGAGATCGATACTGAGATCGATGTGGTGCCCCGAGGTGTCCCGTGGTGTCCCGTGGTGTCCCGTTGAGTGAGATCGATAGTGAGATCGATAGTGAGATCGACAGGTGTCCCGTGGTGTCCCGTGGTGTCCCGTGGTGTCCCGTGGTGTCCCGTGGTATCCCGTTGAGTGAGATCGATCGTGAGATCGATGCTGAGATCGATGTGGTGCCCCGAGGTGTCCCGCGGTGTCCCGTTGAGTGAGATCGATAGTGAGATCAATCGTGAGATCGATAGTGAGATCGATGTGGTGTCCCGTGGTGTCCATGGTGTCCCGCTGAGTGAGATCGATAGTGAGACCTATAGTGAGATCGAGAGGTGTTCCGTGGTGTCCCGTGGTGTTCCGTTGAGTGAGATCGATAGTGAGATCGATTGAGTCAGATATTGGTTCCCCCCCCTCTCCCCCCCCCACAACCTCCTTATCACCCGAAGGGTGGTCGGATAGGTAATGGTATACTTATCGAAGACGCCTACGGCGAATCACCGCCGCTCCCTGAATTTTGGAATCGCCCATGAGCTTGAGCGTTGTGGCAAGAGCTCTGCCAAGCTATCGAACCATGTGCTCCCCAACAGTTGTGGGAACCTCTCGGGGAACACTTGGGGGAGGTTGACGGGGAAGATCAGGAGGAGGAGGGGGAGGAGGAGGAGGAGGAGGAGGAGGAGGAGGAGGAAGAGGAGGAGGGGGATGAGGAGGAGGAGGAGGAGCAGGAGGAGGAGCAGGAGCGGGAGCAGGAGGAGGAGGAGGAGGAGGAGGAGGAGGAGGAGGAGGAGGAGAAGAAGAAGAAGAAGGAGGGGGCATCTGGGGAGCCGCGGGGGGGCACTCTTGGGGTCTCCTGGGAGCTTCCTGAGAGCCTTTTGGATGCATCTTGGGGGCCTCCTTGGGCCTCTTGGGGGCCTTTGGGGGCTTCTCGTGGGCCTCTTTGGCATTCTCAGGGCATTCCTGGCCCGTCGCACGCCGTCGGAAACCGTCTTGGGGGACTCTCTGGGCCGACTTGGGGCCCTCTTGTGGTCCTCCAGGCCATCTTGGAGGGCATCTTGGGCGTCTTGGAGGTCTCTTTGGCTGTCTTGGGGGCCTCTTGGGCCGTTCTGGGGCTATCCTGGAGGCCTCTTTGGCGATCTTGGGGTGATCTTTGGGGCTCTTGGGCAGTCTCGGACCGTCGGCAGGCCGAAAAGAGGCAAATGCCAGCGTCCTTCAAATACCTGAGGGGCATTCATGATTTTGGCTTCTTCGGGCCTTCCAGGAGGTCCTCTTGGAGGCCTCTGGGGCCGTCTTGGTGACCTCTTGCGGGCCTGTTGGGCCGTCTTGGGCCATCTTGGAGCCATCTTGGGCCGTCTGGGCTCCTGGCCCGATTGACGCAGTCGGAAGCTGTCTCGGGGGCTTCTCTGGGCCGACTTGGGGTTTGCTTGGAGGCAATCTTGGGTGTCTTGGAAGTCTCTTGGGCCGTCGTGGGGGCCTCTTGGGCCGTTCTGTGGCCATCCTGGGGGCCTCTTGGGCGATCTTGGGTCTATCTTTGGGGGCTCTTGGCCGTCTCGGGCCGTCGGAAGACAAAAAAGAAACAAATGCCCAAGTCCTTCAAAAGCGTAAGGCAAATCAATGATTTTGGCCTCTTCTGGCCTACCTAGAGGTTCTCTTGGAGGCCTCTGGGGCCGTCTTGGTGACTTCTTGCGGGCCTGTTGGGCCGTCTTGGGCTATCTTGGAGCCATTTGGGGCGTCTTGGTGGGCTCCTGGCCCGTCTGACGCCGTCGGACGCCGTCTTGGGGTGCATCTTGGGCCGTCTTGGAGGAGTCTTGGGGTGCTCCAGTGCCGTCTTGGAGGCCATCTTGGGC